CTCAAGCCACGTGGCAACTGATATGTGGGGTGGGTGGGGGAGAGGAGCAGGGAGGAAAGCCTGCTCTGATACCAGTGTGACGGACCCGCCGAGATGGCGGTCTGTCAGGATCAAGACGAAGGGATGAGGATGGGGGAGATGGAGATGGAGCTGGAAGGGACAGCGCAACTCCAACGCAGACTCAACACGCACGTACTCCAATCTGTGCAAATGAAGAATGAATCAAAAACACACTACAGCTGGGGTATACCCCCAGCGGACTGACTGACTGGACTGGTCTGGTACCGACAGTGGTACCGGGCAGGACTGGAACATCACACGGCCTGGTCCCACAGGCCGAACTGGCAAATAGCCAAATAGGCCCTGTCTGTAGGCCAGGGCAGATGAAGGCCCGCTGTAGGGTTTCTTCAGCCAGACGGAAGGAAGCGTGAGGGTGTTCACCATGTATTTTATCTTTTGACTTGCCGGGGGAAAGGAACCGGACTGACGCTCCCCAGAATGGATATGGAGCCAAGACCATAAGGAGCTGTTTTAGCAAAAAAAAAAACAAGCAACCGTTGCTGCACCCACCAAACTCCCCTGTCCCAAATCAGCCTTCCCCCGAGACTATACCCCCAGGGACTATACATACCCCATAAGTAGAAAAAAGACAAAGGTTTCAAGGCTTTAGCTTTTGAAGGGAAATCCATCCCTTAAATTTTGAGGCTTAGAACACAGACAAGAGGTAAAGAGTACTACAGCCCCTAGAAAATTGCGATGCGGACAGGAGGTAAAGACTACTACAGCCCCTATAAATCTATGACTAGGTATAGAGTTAGGAGTGAACAGTTACTTAAGTCGACTAGAGTCCAAGACTTGGCAAAGATTCTCTACAACAGGGTCTAATAGGCTGAAAATTTCTTCCAGCAAAGACTGCTGCAGAAGACCGAACCAGCAGATCCAGCGATTCAGGATTATCTGACAGTCAAGGAACTGAGAGGAGCTGACTGGAGGTAGTTCAAGTAGTAGAGCGACAAGTAGCAGAGTAAAGAGGAATCCAGAATAGAATCCAAAGAGCAAAATTAGGCCAGGCTAACTTAAGCAGGGGTGAAGGGTGGTACATACTTCCGTCCGGAAGTAATCAATGCCTTCCTTCGCCGTGTACTGTGTCAGTCCAGTCCAGTCCTGCCCGGTACCACTGTCAATACCAGTCCAGTCCAGTCCAGTCCAGTCAGTCCGTTGGGGGTATACCCCAGCTGCAGTTTGTTTTTCATCATTCTTCACTTTTGCACATCTTGGAGTACGTGCGTGTTGAGTCTGCGTCGGAGCTGCGCTGTCCCTGCCAGCTCCATCTCTACCTCCTCCTTCGTCAACCCTTCTTCTCCATCCTGACGGACCGCCATCCCGGCTTCCTTACCATAAAGGGGAGGAGCGTGTGTGAGTAGTTTTTGTAATTCCTTTGACTTGCCAGGGGAATAGGAACCGGACTGATGCTCCCCAGAATGGAAAAGAAGCCAGAGCCGTAAGGTTCTGTTTAATAATTAAAAAAAATAAAAAAAATATAGAAAGCAAGCAACCGTTGCTGGCTAGGCTGGGGAACGTGGACTTTTGCACATGCAAGGAATATGAGTGTGAATGATATACAGAAAACCAAGTTGCGAAATCACACAGATGTCAAGGTAGTCGTATCCAAGCAGAGAGTACAAAATGCACCGAGTATCCATCCATATAGAGCAATACAATGAAGTAATGAGCCAATGTTCAAGCCCGTAGGCCACACCAACACAATATCCAAAGTCGCTCCTCTCTGCCTGGCGCTCGACGCCCAGCCTACTCTACCCGACTATCCTACCTACAGCTGGTTCACGCAACAGGCTCACTTCGACTCTCGAAGACCAATGTACATGACTGTCAACACCATCGCCGACCTCTCTTCATGTACCAGGTACGTATCTCGTCACCCTCAATCGGACCTTGATGACCCCACACTCGCCTCGTTCCCTGAAGACCACTAGATCTTCCGCTGTACCCCCTGGTGCCCATCAGCTCGGCTATGGCTGCCTGCGCCCCGCTGCCCTGCAGCACCCCTCCTTCACCACCTCGCGCCCCGTCAGCGCCTTTGGCAGCAGCGCAGCATCAAGCGAGAACGCAGCAGCACTTCCGCATTGCCAGCACTGACCAGAATGCCTGGCCTGGACTGCCCTTCTCCTTTTGTGGAAGTGGCAGCCTCCTGGATGCTGTGTGTGGCCTGGCTGGAAGCTTCCAGTAGCTTCCGGTTGGGCCTCAGACCCTGCGCCCAGGCCCGAGACTACAGTTGAGGGCCTGGGCCCTTTGCAGTCAGGCACGGCCTGAGTCTCCGGACTTGGGCAGTTTGCTGCATCTGTGCAGGGCTCCACGGCAGGTGCGTTGGCACTACTGCTTTTGTGAAGGCCAAAGGCCTGCTTTCCAATGTATCGGCCCTGCTTTGTGTATGTGTGCCCAGGCGCAACTGTCAAGGCCTGGGCCAACTGTATGACGCAGCTTTGTGAGGCTCACGTGTCGACCCAACCAACTGGCGTGCTGCGAAAGCCTGAATACCCACATAAGGAAATGCCGAATTTTGCCTCTGACGAATATTCAGGCCCGCCTTCACTTAGGGCGGCACTCGGCTTGCTGGGGCCCTTAGCCCAGATCATGTGATGTCTGATAGGGCCCCTTGAGGGCTTGTTCCTCACACACAACATTGGTCGCAAGGAGACGTAGAAGGGCATGCAGGAGACTATGTTGCATGTTCCATGGATGCCGTGTGTACACAAACGGTAAAAGTGGAACAGGAAATCCAAGCTGCAGCCAGATGATGGTTGCAGAGCAGCAGCAGCATGAGACACAGCAACAGCTCCCACATCAGTGCTGGCGTTGACATTTTGGGAGGCCGCTATCGTCCTCCTTGCGTGCCCTAGGCCGGAACTCTCCCCAGCGTATACCTCACTGCCACACCATGCACTCAGCTTAGTGCATAGTGCATCCATTCCCTACCTTAGAATACCCCTACTCAGCTGGCTGATATGTTGCTCCAGGCTATGCAGCTGCTTGATCAGGTCATTCAGTATGTTGTTCAGACCTGCTCTTGGAAGCCTGAATCTTTTCGAGTTTTTGTCACTGCCTTCTCTCTTTCTTCTGCTACCTGATAACCCTTTGCGACTTTGCCAGCTTAGCATGCTCTTCTTAAGGCGATTGGGGTGGAGACATGTGTTACTAAGGATGCTTGTAAGACCAAATATTTCTATGGTATAGCAAAGCAACTGGCAGAGTGATCATTTCTCACGAAGGTGATCCAGATTCTCAGAAACGGTGGACTTCACATTCGAGATGAGCTGCTCCTCAAGGGCCCGACCAAGGAAACGCACTGCTTCGCAGTAGAGAGTGGCCGCTTCCAGACGCGTCAGCAGCCTTGTCAACACCACAGCCTGGATGAATACCTTCTCGCAATCTGTAAGGGACGCATTGCACTGCTCCGTGTCTGCAGCTTGGATCACTTCACCAGCCGTTGCACCCATAGATAGCTTCTCAAGCACCACCTGTTCGTTCAGAAGCAACCTTAGTTCCACCCACTGCAACCCAAATACTGGCATGGCATATTTTGGTCTCACAAAACAGAAAAGAAGAGTCGAAGGGTTGTAGGGACAAGCATAAATGCCCGGTGTGCGTTGTCCACAATTTTGTTTGCATCACGAGACTCTGCAATCTCCACTTCTGGTGAAGTTTCTTTCGAGAGCAAGGAGTACAGTATTCTGCAGTCCCTTAGGCAGAGCGCTCAAAATGGCAGATGTCCAATGAGCTCCCTCATAGCCGCATTAGCCATACCGCTCAGTGTTTCCCAAAACCAACCCTTTTCCGGCCAGTTCTTATGAACCAGACCCTTCTGTGGTCCAATGACAGCAGAAAACAATTTATAGCCTAATCGTATGACATCTCTGGGTTCGCACCTCGCTGTACACGAGTTAATCCCACCAAATCGGCAGTACCCACAACGTCACCCACCTAAGCCACCTTACCCTCCGACACACCTGGGCAATCACCCACCAGCACACGAAGCAAGAACAATGACACATCTGCTGGAGTTTTTTTATTTCTGGAAGGCGACTCCTTGCTTCCTGCACCACAACTCAACGTTGACAGCAATCCTTTTAGTCCTCGCTGCAGTTGATCCAAGCGCTCGCTAATCCTGAGAGAGTAAACTTTTCCCAAACTAGAAATCCCTGCCACAATGGCCATCGTGATGAAGGCAGCAGTTGCCACAGTCATCATCATTTGCTTCCCCCTGCCACCACGGCCTGCACCTAATGCTGTCTCTGCACTCACAGGTGTCTGTGCTCCGCCAGCCGAAGGATCCTGCTGTGCTCCACGGAACACTCCTCTTCCACCAGCACCAAATGCAGAATGTATCTGAACTAATTCCTCTGAAATCACTGCATCCTCCAACGTCGTCACCAGTCCAGGTGCCAAAACATCCTTCACCATCGCCAAGGACTGGACATGCATTTGGATCATCCGCTGGGCACATCGTCCAGTCTGAGCGTAATTCTGCAACCCGTCCCCCAACTCCAGCGTCTGCAACATGCTAACTGCACAATTAACTGTGCTAATCACCACAGCAGTTCCCCCAGCCATGATATACACTCCCTGAGGGTGTTGATTCTGAGCATTTGCAACCTGCATGGCTACTTCCCTGACTCCGCCCAGGCAATTCATAGTCTTTAATCGCAACTTCTCTAACTCTGCCCGACCCAAGTTCTCTTTGAGCCCCAGCTCTGCATCCCGCTCGATCCCCACCAGGTCGCCCTTTGCCACATGCACAACCTGCGTGAAAGACTGCAGAATGCTGTTCTCCAACTTCGGCAACCGATGCCTCATCTTGTCCCCCCTGGGAATCCCATAAACGCCTGTGCCTGTATCTACATTTACACTATCACCTGATCTCAGGGCCCCGGGATCCCCTAAAACCCAATGGTCAAGCTGAGACCTCCACCTTCCTTCGTAATGACCTAATGTCCCAATATCCTTGTACCTGCTCAGCAAATCCTGTGCGTATGCCCCCAGCGGTCCATTGCCCAGATGACTCAAGGACGACACCAACGTAAACTCCACAGCCCTTACCATGAGAGCTGAAAACATGTCAGGAAGGAGATGCACAGCCAACCACCATGCTCTCATACCGTCTTAGCCTTGCGACAAGAGAAAGATCACTGATGCAGGATCTGCACGACAAGGACGGGCCCATTCTGTCTTTCCCAGATGTCCCAGTAGTCCCAGAGGGTGGCTTGGCCAGCATGCCGTGCAGCAACGAGGGATCAGGTTCAGGACAGAGGAACTGGTGGTACTAGTACGTCTGTAACAGCGCATATTTCCTCTGCGGGCCCGAGCAGGATAGGTTTTGCAAGTGGTAAGGCTGCTTCCATCAGCCTGGAAACTCGTCAGCTGATATTACGGGACAAGAGAAAGGTGTCTAGATGGCTAGATGGTGTAGTGAGGCAGCTTCTCGGTGGCAGTATGCCTACCGACGGGAGTGGGGATGGCAGTGAGAGTCAGAGTGCAAGCGGGTGGAGTGCACACAAAGCAGCAGCAAGGTGGAGGTTAAATGAAGAGGAATTTACTGGGGTCTTGTTCGTTTCCGATATTTGTCAGTACTACAGGTTGCTCGTTCATTTAATTTTTTGGCTCACGCCAGGAAGGCTATGTGGTGACATTGGGCTGTATGCTGTGTGATGAGAGCTTGCTGACATGGCATTTAGCCGAGGTGGAACTGCATTGTATTCTGGGTTGTGCCGAGGCAACGCCCGATCATCATAAATGCACGTCAGGTCAACTGGTGAGAAATCTGTGGTTGGGAGCCGCATTATGAGGCATGTTGCTCCTTACCTTATCTACCCTCCTCCTTGCTTCTTACTGTGAAGTAGTGAGTGTGGTCTTTAGAGTCCTCTCATTGTGAGGTGCTGTGAGCGCTCAACCTTGAGAGTCGACATTTTCCCTGGGGAGCATGCTGGCGGGAGAGGGCGTTGCCATCTGAAGGGCCCTGGACGGAGCACTTGGGTCACGGTCACCATGCCAACCCATCGGGAGTAGAGCACGCATGCTTTGCTACGCTATAGAGGTGTGCTGGGCAGGTCATCCCTATGGAGGATAAACGAGCACTGGACCGTCTATAAAGAACGTCTGGCGGGGATATTCAACTCGTGCTGTACGCGAGTATAAAAACAGTACGGATGGGGCTGGCCGGTCTTGCATTGACCTGGGGCACAGGGGTGGGCTGTGTGCACCCCTTTCGACACAGCGCTGAAACCAGTTCTCACAGGACGTTGACATTAAGAGACAATCAAGAAGGATTGAGGGGGAGGGTTGAATCCAGTTGGCTGTTTGATTGTCAATTCTTGCATTTGTCCATTCGGCATACATCTCATGCAAATGATTTTATTTTTATTTTTATTAGTTAGATGTGACCGACTGCACACATCTGACAGACTGCTGTAGACAGAGTAGTTGTCTATTCTTGCTGCATTGCATCTGTTTGAGAACTAGTCAAAGTAGAAATGGAATTGTTTGTAGGGGTCTAAACATATCTTCTGTGACCGCTTGACTACTTCCTGTGAAAGCTGGACCAAACATTTATTTTATTTTTATTTATTTTAGCATCAGTCGGATGCCACGTTGTGGTAGGTTCCAGCGTGGACACTAGTGCAGATCGCAATCCGCGTGTCGCTGACAAGTGTGCGTGACAGCGAGGAGGAGAGACTAGACCAGAGTAGGCGGAGGATTACTTGTCAGACAGCACTTAGTATGCCGAACATTTACCTGTACTTAGGGCCGGTTGAGGAAAGGAGACAACAGAGAGAAGCTGAGAGGAGGCGGCGATTGCAGAAAAGCCAGGTAGCAGCAGCTGAGGCAGGGAGCGCTTTAGCAGCAGCAGCAGCAGTTGGACATGCTAGAGCTGAAGCAGCAGCTATGGCTGTCGTTTCTACACTGTGCAGGCCACATCTCAGGCCAGTTCGTCTGGTGTTAGTCAGAGTACATCTGGTGTGTCCACTGCCAGTGGTGTATTTGGTGGCATGCAGTACAGCCAGCAGCAGCCACCGCTGTCTGTAAAGGATATGGAGCTTCACGATCGGTTACAACGCCAGGTACATGATGTAGAGGATAGAAGAGATAGAGCTACGGGAAGAAAGTCTAGACTAGAGGCGAGGGACATGGAGCTAAATAGGGTAGAAGCTATGGATGCGGCAACACTTGATGCTATGGTAAGGTCACTTCGGGCCAGCCTTCTAAGCATGGCTGAAGTACAGTCTGTTCAGCAGGAAATGCTGACTACTCTGTTAGCTGGCCAGAATCAGATTCTGGCTGCACTGAGAGGTCCCAGGACAATGGCTAGGACTGCGCAACCTACTGTAGCTCCTCCTACAGCGGTTTGTTCAACCGCCGCAACCTGTGAGAGGTCCCTTTGTACCTCAGTATGGCATAATTCGGGCAGGCGGTTCATCAGTAGGCAGACTCTAGGACCTGCTTCATCGGTCCCCCTACCAGATGCTGCAGCTACGGAGCAGCGGCCGGGTCAGCGGCCTGTGCAACAGGTTAGGCAACCTGTTCCGCCAGTTCAGTCACCGGTGCAGCAGGCACAAGGGACTTGTCCACAACCACAAGACACGCGTCGAGAGAAGGGGATAACCTACTAACCGTTGCTGCAGCAAGGTGGTTAGTTGGGCTAGTGCAGCAGGACGGACAAGACTGGGATTTTGACTTTTGGACTAGAGCCAGATGTCTTGATCAATTTCTGTTGTTGGTGGAAGAGAGGTGGCAAGAACGTCATAGGGCGTGGCTAGCTACTCACGTGCAGAGGAACCTAGACTCGAGGAAGTATAGGTCACTACACGTGTCGTGGTCCTAAGATTGCGCAATAACCCGGTTTGCTTGGCTACTCACAAGAGGTGCTTACCAATTGAAGTAGAAAGTGAGACCATATGATTCCTCTTCTTGAATACGCAGGCCCTGGACTTCGAGGCCAAGCTTAGTAAAGCGATTGAGGGCTTGGATGATAGGAGGAAGAAGAAGCAACCCCAGGTTCTTTAGAAGTTCGACCCTGGGAGATAGACAGAGCGGGTAGGTGGCCAGAAAACTTCTGAGGGAGGAGTATTGGCCATTTCATCTAGGCTGAGTCGACTGGCATGCAGGGAAGCAACCAGTCTAGGAGTCAAGCGGAAGATCCTACTCTGTCCAGGTGAATAAGAGAGGGTCTTGCAGTGAATGTGTGAATAGACCCAGCAAAGAGTGTGGCATGTATGGCCATACCAAGGGGTGGGGTCCAAGCCAGCTGGTCACCAAGAGGGTGAAGCCTCAAGAGAGGCATGAGGCATCCTCAAACCAGGGAATCACTGCAAGCACTTCCTTGGGGAGCACATCTGGCCCGTTGAAGTTGTAGTCGCTTCCGCGCAGGTTGAGGTGGTAGACAATCCCTCACCATCTCAAAAGACAACCATAGTTACTGACTCCTTTATCACCCCGCAAGAACATCCGGACCACATGATGCTTTGTTCATGGGGTGTGTCTGAGTCCTTCGAGGAGCTAGAGAGGGAGTAGTATGTAGAAGACCTGCTAGCTGCCTGAGTGACCACGGTTAAAGGTCTTGAGGATCCGGTACACGTCTCCTCTACCCGGGACTACATTAATCGCGATTGTGTGAGAAGACTGTGCTTCGGGACCAAGTGCAATGGCTAAGGAGATATGTAGTATCCAGCTTAGCCAACACAAAACTGCTAGTGTGCGGCGCTACATTTTAAATGTAGCCGGTAGTTCCTCCTATGGGGGAAGGCAGCTAAGGATAATAGTCTACTTGTCGGATAGCGATAAGCTTCCTGTTATACGTTACTAGGAGGAACGACTTCGGGGTTGCAGAGTTCCTATTTTGACAGGGCCAATCACGGAGGGAAAAGTACCAAGCCTTTAAATCTTGGACGGGCAGGCCTTCAAGACCCCTTTAGAGAGATGAAATAAGTTGTCATTAAACCACCAGTACTTGGCTCAGCTATCAGCCATGGAAAAAAATAAAGTAGAAACGTTTCTAGTCGGATGAATTTGGGCGCTCCTGTAGTGGCCCGTACGTTTCCTAAACTTGTGGCTTGTTAACGGGCACGACTATAGGAAGTACTGTTGGTTTAAGTGTCTAAACCTTCTCAGGAACCATCAGGAGTTGTAGGCGAGGAGGATATCCAAGAGATAGGTATTGGGTGGACCTATAGGATACTGCCTATGATGCTGGACAGCGACTGACATAGCTAGAGAAGAATCAAGGCGAGCTCGTACCCTAGCGCGCTTTGCTTGGGCGGCTTCGCATGGCTCCTTTCCTGTGCCTGCCTCTGCGCCTTCCCCCGTCGCAGCCTGCGAACCCTCCCCTAGCTCAGTACCCGATGGCCCCGATGATGGCCTGACCAGGCTGGGCCCCTCAATGTCAGGGTGCTCAGCTGCATGTGCGGCTGAACGTGAGTCGACGACAGGCAGGGCTCCGTCCTCCACCCCTCCGGTAGCCCTCTCGCCTCAATCTCCTGCCTGGGTGACATAGTGGCCTCTGGTGGTGGTACTGAGGCTTCCTGGTTGTCTGGCTCCGCGACGCCCTCTGGCCAGGACCGCCGTGTCCGAGCTCGGGCTGGGGAGTCCGGGGGAGTATCACCTTCCACCACAATGACATCTTCCGCACCTACCCCGTTCAATCTGAGCGGCTCTGTCTCCGGCTCTGGGCGAGTCTGCCCTCCCCCTGATGGGTCCGTGGGGCTCTGTCTTGCCGAAGGGGCCTCCCACTGAGATGCGTCCAAATGGGCCTCCAGACTCYTGAAAGGCGCTGCTAGTACCTAGCTCTCCCTCTGCTCTGGTGCCTGTAGCGAGGGCCGTAGTAAGTCATCCTCTGTAACTTGGTGGAACTTCACCTGCCTGAGGCCACAAGCAGGGAAGGACTCGCTTGCCCGAGCCGGTCCTGCTTGTCCTCCTTCTCGTTGTGCCAGGGCCTTCCGGCCACCTTTCGACGTCACTGGCTCCCTTGCCTCCAAATCCCTTAACCTCTTGCTTCGCCGCCTTCTATCAACCCTCGGTTCTGGCCTCTCTGGTTCCGGTCGCCGAAATGCCACCCTCAACTGAGCCCGACAGTCCTCCCAATCTTGTGCCCGCCTCCGGATTTGTCTTCCCAGTGGACGCTCCACCTCTTTGGTCCAAAGGAGCAGCGCCTGTACCCACTCATCCCTCGGAGCCCCCTGATCACTCATATATCGTTCGTATGCCGGGATGAATTCCTCCACGTTCCCTTCCTCCAAGCAGATAGGCAGCCCATCGTTTCCCAAAGGTGAAGCTCCCAGT